GAGAGAGAGAGAGAGAGAGAGAGAGAGAGAGAGAGAGAGAGAGAGAGTGCGAATGTAAAAAGGCGAGAATGAATGGAAGTGAGAGCAAAAGAGAGAGAAAAAATGAGTGAAAAAGCAGAAAACGCAACCGAACGAAAGAAAGATCTCTTGACATAAAAAATTTATTATCGCAACGAGCATATAAACATGAAGTGGAAGTGTGTAACGAACACCCCGACACTTGTTCGTGCATGCATACATTCGCACGCGCGCGAGAGAGAACCCAAAAGCGGTTTATTTATTCTGACAAACTGATAGAAATTATGTTTCAAATACTTAGTTTCGTGTGAATGTGTGCGCATTTTGGCATCGAGTTTCGAAGTCGACGACGACGAACCACCGTCACTCTCTCGAAAGCGCATTCAATTCTTTGTTAATTTGTTGATGCAATAAAATCGCGGAGGCAAAACAAAACTAAACGACGACGACGAAGACGAAGCAGAAGAACGAATAATAATAAAAGGTAGCAAAGTTTTGTTTTATGTGTCATGCACACCGAAACGGATACACACATAAAATACACCAACACTAAGCCGCAACTAGCAACTCGAGTAGCATTCACCTTTAAAAGTACTTTTGAGTCGTTTTTATTCTCTCTTTCTCTTTCATTTTTTTCTATTATGACTGCTGCTGCTGCTGCTGCCGCTACTAATTTTTTATCAGTAAATTACTAATCATATGAACCTGTATTTCTGGTAATTCATTTCGCGCATTACTTATTCTAACGACGAAATAGAATTCCTAATGGAAAATCACAAACGTAAGTTACAAACCCGACACAACACGTAGGTGCTTGTTGACGTTTATGTTGTTCGTTCGTGCGCTCGCGATCACAGGTCTCACACGAGTCGTTCCTCATTAACACACAAAATCATCGCGATACAATGCAGCAATCATTTTAAAACTGAAATGTCATTTCAGTATTTTGATCCTTTTGCGCAATACGCGTGGATTAGCTGCAGAAGATGCGAGCGAATGGGTTAATCTGCTTCTAAAAAGTCATTTGCACCGAAATTTTATTAGTGTTTTGGCTTTGGAAAAACTCTTCAAAAACCCATTTTCATAAATGAGAAATGTTGCGAATGAAGAGAAAAAAAAGCTGCTCCATTTGAGTGAGCATTAAATCCATGCACATAAGCAGCACTAGCAGCAGCAGCAGAGTTATGAATGGTTAAATGGGAAGAAAATCGTATAGTTTACGACTTTGGATTACAAATGACTTACAAAAATACATTGTGTGTAAAACTCTAACTCAATGCATTTATTATCATCCCGTGTGAAATGTTCATTTTGCGTTTTCGTTCATTTCCAAGGAATTATGATTTATTTTTTTTTGGGGGGGGGGGGGAGAGTATGAATAAATAAAAAATGCGCCATAAATTGCAATATCAAATCAAATGCCAACCGAGCGTCATGCTCATGTTGCTGTCATCGTCGTTAGAACAAACAACAAACCCGACGAAAGAATGAATGAGAGCGTTGAGCGAGATGAACTTGGACATTGCACATTTTTCCCGACCATTTGGCGTAGTTGCAGCTCATAAAAAAGAAGGCGAACCATTCGCGCTGAACAGTGAGCGAAAAAGGAAAAGGAATGGAATGCAAAGCGACAGAGAGCGAGATAGTAAGAGCCAAAGTCAGAGTGCTTTGGTAATCGGACGATGATCATTGGATTATAATCAAATTTGTATAAATTGAAATGCATGGCTCTTGAAACCGGTCGTATACATATTTTATGATATTAATATGTACACATTGGCTAGCATTCTCGGTTTTGAAACGCGCGCAAGAGAGAGAGAGAGAGAGAGAGAGAGAGAGAGAGAGAGAGACTGAGAAAATGAACGATAGCGAAAATAAGAAAGGAAAACGAGACACACGATGTGTAGCAATAGTGGAAATGGAAAATCGTTGTTAACGTTAAATAATATTTGAGCTACTGTGCCCGTTGCACTAGACCACACTCTCCGAATGCCGCTGTTTTCGGTTTTTACGAGCACTTAATTAAGCGTCAGCATATTTTAACTG